ACGGGTGAGTTAGTATGTGAAAGTCAAAATATCTTGTAAATATCTTTGTATATATACAATAAAGACACGCCATGCTAACCTGATTGTGGGTTAAAAAAAAAAAATTATAATAAATAGTTTTAAAAAAATTAATAAAAAATTTAAAAAATGGTTTAATTTATAAAAAAATAATGAAATATTTTTTATATTATTTAAATTATAATTATAATTATTTTATAATTTTAATTTATAAAATTAATCCAAAAAAACATTTTAAAGTTAATAGTTTTAAGATAATATTTTTAAATTTTGTATTTTTTAATCTAAGCAAGTTTTCAATATATTTAATCAGACAATTTTATTAAAGAATTTTTTTAATTAATAAATTTAAAAATTTATATATTTATATATTCTTACTATTTTAATTATTTAATTTTTATAATTTTTTTAAAATTGATTCTTTATAAAAAATTTTTTTATTTTAAATTAAAGTTTATAAAATTATAATATTAGAATTTAAAAATTTTTCTCAAGTAAACTTATTCATTATATAATAAAAATATATATTATATATAAAGCTTATGATATTTAATTACTAAATTTTTTATTTATAAATAAAAATAATAAAATAATTTTTTTCAAGAGCAAGTGTTTCACATTGTAATTTTAAATAAAATAATATAAGATAACTAAGCTTAAAGCATAATTCAAATAAATAAGTTATTTAAATTTAAACTAGAATATTAATTTAATCTATAAAATAATAAAAAATCAATAATATCGGAATAATATAAATTAATTTAAATAAAAAGCAATATGGGTTAATTTTGAATATTAAAATTAAAAAAATCAAGCTTATAAAATAGTTCAGGATTATAATTTATTTAACTATAAATTTATATCAATAAAAAATTTTTTTTTTTAAAAAAAGATTTTCAATACTGTTAAATCTGAAACATAGTCCAAGTCTATAAACTATTTTCATATGAACTAATCTATATCATATATTAAATCAATTAAATGATAAAAATCAATATTATTATAATAATTGATTTAATTGTTAATAAAGATTAATATTACTAAGCCTGGAGTATGGCCGGGGCTCACAAGCTAGCAATAGTCATGATAAAAAATATATTATTTAAATTCATGGTTGTAATTTCAAATTACAACCTGCCCTTTCAAAATAATCGATTTACCGAAAGATTCTTTAAATGTCAATATTTTAATCAAATTTCAAATTTATGAAATTCATGAATTTATTTCATTTAAAATTTTAATAGTCATATGTACAGTATATACAGTAAATCATATACAGTATAATTATGTTACATTTCAATTTTACTAAAATAAATAAATATGATTAACGAATCTTTGATTTTTACCAATTGTATGTAGATTTTTAGTAATCGTTTTTTTACAAAAAAAAGTGTGCGAATAATAAATGAAAATCTATCAGTTTTAATAATTAAACCATAGCCGAAAAAAAGTTTTTATGGTGATGATTTTTTATTTATTTATTTTGATATTCATGTTGTTTTGTAAATTTAGCATTTCAAATTTATTAACATTCAGAAAGCGAACTTTAAGTGAGCTTTGCATAAAACATAAAATTATAATGCCGCATGGTCACTTCATGCAAATTAAAAACCGAATCGTTCATTTAAACATGAGATGCTTCTTTATCGAAGGATTCTTGGATTCCGATAATTTGATAAAGAAGATGCACAGTGGTTAATTCAAATGATCATTGCTCTTTCGTGATCAGTGTAAACTTTTGATCATTTTTCATACATTAAAAGACAAGGAAAAATAAAAATAATTAATAATTTACCAATTCGAGATGATGATAATGTCATTTTAGGACCGAGAACTTTTGTCCAGCTATCGCATACATATTAGGAAATTCACATTTAACTGATTATTGTCAACCACACCAAACACGCATCGTTCTATTTACAGTGTACTATTCGGGAGCACAAAACATTTAAGAGAGAGCACTAGTTGTTTTTATGAATTGTTTTGTATTCCCGACTGTCATTAAAAGGAAAAAAATCCATGTATGCGTGTATTTTTAATATAAACAATATTAAAAAGATGAACATTCTTTCGAAAAAAATAAAAAAAAAATAAAAAAAAATTTTTTTTTTTATGCAAGCGATGACTCCTTGAAAATATTTATCTGCACATCAATAATACGCTAATCTTTAATGCGAACGACACTGGAAATCTTGACTCGGGGTTCTAGATGGCAGTTCCATGTCAAGGATGAAAAAATTTTTATTTTTATGAAAAAAAATTTTTTATTTATCGGCGATAACTTGCGTGCATGTGTTGTGTTTATTAATTTTGCCGTAGCTATGTCACATGTCATTGGTTAGTAAGGCATGCATCATAAAAAAAGAAATTACCATTACCTGTGGTATTCGCGATCGTGAATCCGCGCGAACTCAAGAGACATCGTCGAGTAAGAATCATTAGCACCCTGCGTCGCATCGACCGAACCAACAAATCCCGCCAAAAATGGTTGTTGAATTTTATTCGTCAATTTAATTTTAAAAAAGGTTTATCAAGAAAATCATGAGCCCGCGTAACAAAAATTCTTTTATCAGAATGCATAAGTATGTACAGTAATTAAAAAAGTAATATTCTATTGAAACAAATTTTTCGTGGTACAACTTCGAAAAAGGATTTTTTGGTTATCTTGCATACATGCACGTGCATAAGTCGCTTTCAAGATTATCTAAACTTTTTTTTTAAAATATAAATCGCGGAGAATTTCGGGAAACGTTTGTTCCGCTAATGAATCAATATTAAATCGAACACGGAGAATGGATGCTCGTGGCTGCAAGATCGAAATAAGGCGAATCAAGAAATATTTCATTGAACAAGCACCTGCGATGCCGTATTTGTAATTTTACAATGCCTGCATAATTTGACAATTGTTACACGATGCAGGCATTGAGTAATTGCTGTGCTGTTTATTCGCACGACAAATCATTAATTCGTCTTGGAAATTGAAATGCGTATTGCCTGTGCACCGCCATCCTTAATCGACGAAGATGAAAAAACCGATGAATTTTCGTTAGTTTTTCCTCATCTCGTAAATCTTGCATACTTTTTTCAGATACTTTTGCATGGATTTAAGATTTTGCGGGTAGGGGTATGCATTACGTATTTTTGGAAAATGGTTTTTTTAATTACAGTATACTGAAGATAATTTCGGAGCGTTTCATTTCTTGTACAATTTTTGATCTCGATTAGAATCATTTCCTCTTCGTTAATTATTGAAATAACAATTTCAGCAAACAATTTTCAATGTACTGTGTATGTCACGCTTTTACAGTATGAACTGATAAATAAAATAAAATAAAAAATTTCTTTTTTTTTTTTTAAAAAAAAAAAAAAGAGGGAGGAAATTTAGGTCAATATTTAAAGTTTATGTTATTGAGCTTGAGAATCTTTCTTGCCTTTTGCTTTTAAAGGTCACTTACGGTACGTACATATTCCCCGAGAAACGCAACGATGATCACAAAAAATACCAAAAAATGACCGAGTTCTCCGGAAAAAAAAATAAAATAAAATTCTTAGCGTCTCCTTTCCTCGAACGAACAAGTGTTCGTCGTTCGGAAGGTGATGGTGACACGAAATCTATCTTTCGAATATCCTTCGCAATAGAGTTCCATCATGACACAAGCAGAATGGCTTCTATCGAAATTTCAAGAACCCTTCTCCCCTTATACTGCAAATAAGGGCAAGGGTTTGAAGATGAATTTTTGTGTTATGTCTTAATTTTCTGCAATCCAGGTGATGCAAAGCCTTGCACATATTGTGGTGAAACGAGGACGGGACATTACGTACTTTGAAGTTCAACAGTTTTACCAGCGCTTATGGTCCGATTTGTGCAGCAGACCAAGGGAAGTAAGGGTCTATATTTGTGCTAAATTCTTATCTCATAAATAGATTAGTTATCGCAGACTTTTTTTGGAATTGAGTTTGAAGCACGCACATTTAATTTCACACACTATTGACATTATGAAAAGATAAAACATTGGAATTATACTTTATTCGTTCGGAGAATGAAACCAATGGACACAACAAATGGTATTACCAGCATTTGGTTATATTATCAATGTACTGTACTGTACTGTATATTGTACGTATTGTATATATATATATATATATATATATTTTCAAACAGGTAAATGCTCGATAAGATATCTAATGTCTTACATCGTATATTTTTTTTTTCGTTTGTTTGTAAATTTGTGCAAACTTAACTTTGATCACATATGCAAACACCACACCTCACCCGGCGTGCCACCACGCACTGTCGTAACACATACGTATCGATCACTATCGTCGAATTAGATTACTGTAATTACTTTACGCAAAAACCATGGGCAATTACCGGCATCAACCACGGCCACTCATTTCCGAAGTCGATGTTCAAGCGGATTCTGTATTCATATCAGACAGTCTAATTGAAACTGCGGACCCTAATCTCAACACGTTATTCGACATATAATCCAAAAGCCATTTCGACGGTGGCACTCCGTAAACCAACACATAACCATTTCGTAATATGAAATCCACGGATTCAGCAATCGGATCGAGAGGTGTCGTTGGTGAAATAATAAATACAATAATGTAAAAGGCCAGATATAATCCCGTTAGGGTACCTACGGAGATCATATACCAGGTTCCCACCGCTGCATTTTGAGAGTTGATGCTGTACTTGGGAAAATCGGTCGTGAGATTCTGAGCCGAGGAAAACGAGGTCTCAAACGAATCCGCGTTATCCTCCTTTTTTGAGTTAGTCGGATTTATTTCTTCATCGACGAATCTTGCTCTCAATCCGACGTGATTGAAGTGAACCGTCAGGATTGGTATGAAGGTGTAGAGAAAGGAGCATATTCCGCACACTATCCAAAAAAGGGCTTGCAATATCAAAACGAGTAAGGCCGGCTGACCGTCTGGTGATTTCATTACGAGGCCGGCGCTCACCCAATACATAATGTTTAGGAGTATTAATGAGGCAATGCTGGATTTGCACAAAGGGTCTTTCCAGCTTGCATCGCGATAAAATTTTCGCCCCGTGAACAAGAGGCATGTCCATATTATGGTGGCATAGATAGCGGAGATACCCTCATATCCAATCCAGAAATATTGTTGTGGGAAGTCGGGATTAATTACCCGGAATGCGTTTATCGAGCACAAACCCAGGTTGGCCAAACTCGACAGGAGGCTATTGACGTATTGTAAAAGTGAAGTCTGATGAGTTCACAAATTTCTCATGATTTGCTCGAGATAATCGTGAATTAGTTAGTTACCATGAAGTTCGCAAGTATGTGGCCGACACGACGGTGTAATATAAGATCCAGCAGCTTCCCAAAAAACTCACCGCTACGCTCAGAAGTGTAAATGATAACTCCACGATACCCATCAATTCAAATTGTTCGTTCGTTCGCTCGTTATGAGTTCGAAATCTTTGAGGAAAATTTGGCAGAAAAAAAAAAAAAAAAAAAAGGTTCTAAAAGAAAAATTTTTCTGAAGGAACAACAGATTTCGGCGAAGAATGGTGAAGATGAATCACCGAAAATCATCTTTCATGTAGCGTTTATAATTACAGTATTGTGACCCAAGAGTGAACGGGTGTCTATATTCCGTCCCTCTTTTAAAAAATCCGAGTATTGGTGATACAAGAATTTTTTTGTTAGATTGGTGATGCACACAAGTCATTTTTCACGACACTATTGTTTTTCTGTGTGTGCATATATTGACCTCTTCGGTTTGTTTAATGATTATTCTTTTTCTACGAACGAATCGAAATTGATCATGCTCCCTTATCAACGCGGTCATTTGTTGATGTTGTTCTCCTCGGTCTCAAAAGGCGCATGAGTCAATTAAAGTCGAATTTCTTATATACATTATTTTATCGTCATTTCATGGTTTATGCAATATTTGCGAGATCCCCACTCACGGGATGAAATGCTTCGTCGTTCCATTTGCACAGAGGAAAGTGGTGTTATCTAAAAAAAAAAAAAAATAGCATCCATTGTTGTGCATCGGTGAAACGTCGGGTCGGTATTTTCAAAAAAAAAGAGAAAACCCAACAAATCCCAGATGAAACCTGTTTAATTGCTCCAAAATTTTCTACCTGTGCAAGGAGTGCGCAGTCCTTCCCTACCAAGTAGCTCATCATCATTACTCTCTTTTTTACCCGAGAAAACGCTTCCCACCTAAATTCTGCAACGATGACCAGATTAACCGCGAATCCGCTCCCCGTTGATCCCACATCACGAAAGGCCACCGCCGTTAATCTGTTCAGTGCCTCCAGACCTTACATGCGTGGACTTCACTTTTCATGGATTTCCTTTCTTACTGCCTTCACCGGCTGGTTCTCGGTTTCCCCTTTGCTTCCCTCCATCACGAAAGATTTGAATTTGACACCTGCGCAAGTCGGCGATGGTAATATTGCTTCGGTATCTTCTACGATCGTTTTTCGTGTGTTTATCGGTCTTATGTGTGATAGATTGGGTCCGAAACGCGTCATGGCCTCTGTCCTTATCCTCGGCGCAATACCAACAGCCCTCGCCGGTTTGGTACGAAATAATACTGACTTGGTGATCGTTCGATTCTTCATTGGTATTCTCGGCGCATCTTTTGTGCCTTGCCAATTCTGGACCACTCAGTTGTTTAACTCGAATGCTGTCGGAGTTGCCAATGCTATTGCGGCCGGGTGGGGTAACATGGGTGGTGGCCTCACCTATTTGCTCATGCCCTTGATATTTGACCTAATTAACAGATATTACCCTTACAACGTCGCTTGGCGTCTTGCTATGATCTTTCCAGCCTTTCTTTGTATTATCGTTGGTGTTATCATTGTATACTTTTCCGACGATTGTCCTGAAGGGGACTGGTCCAACCGTGGTCTTCCCACCTTGCTCATTGATGAGGCAGAAGAAGATGAAAAGATATCTAGAATAAGTGTCGCCACCGAGAGACGAACTGCTGTAAAGGTTCACAAAATACCCACCGCCTTTCACTACCTTCTCGTGCTCATCAACCCGAATGTCATTCTAATGATGATAATGTACGGATGCTCCTTCGGTGTCGAAGTAGCTGTCGACAATGTCATCGGCGGATTCTTCTATAGTCGTTTTGGACTAAGTCAAACTCTCTCCGGACTTATCGGCTCCATCTTTGGTTTGTTAAATATCTTCTCTCGTGCGAGCGGTGGTCTCACGTCTGATTATCTCAACAGAAGACTCGGAGTCCGCGGTCGTTTGTTTTGTCAGTTCTTCTTTTTCTTCTTTCAAGGGGCGGCATTTATCCTCTTCAGGTTTACAAGTGGAACATTATCGGGAGCGATTGTAACCATGATCTTGATTTCCTATTTCACCGAGGTAATTAACCAACTTTTACTTCATCTCACGGCGATGGGTATCAATGATAACCTTTTTTTATCTTTTGCTTTGCAAATGCAGGTGTGCTGTGGTACATCCTTTGCCATCGTTCCTTATCTGGATCCGGCAGCTGTCGGCATAGTCTCAGGATTAGTGGGGTCGGGAGGCAACATGGGCGGTCTGGTATTCGCAGCCATATTCAAAGCTTTCTCGAGTGACATTTTAAATGGATTCTTGGTGATCGGGGTTATCGTGATCGCTTCTTCATTCCTACCATTCTTGATGAGTATAAATGGGCGAACGTTAATCTTTGGAAATCTCAAGAGAAACTTTTAATTTAATTCCACCTGGGGTGTGACTTGCACGAACTTCCTACCATTTCAACCATCCCGGTGATCTCGAAACGAGTTTCATTCCTTTTAATTTCTTTTTTTTCTTCTTTAATTTATTTATTGTTAATAATTTCTAATTTATTTGACTCTTTATTGGCCTTGACATGCCAAAAAGAATGTGATCCCATTTTTTGTTAATATTTCCATTGATCCGTCTCTCTTTGTTCAAATTATATACGCACGCTATAAACCAATGAAATAAAATATCTTTAATTCGAGAGAGAAATATGAAATGATTAGTTTAAAGTTGATGGCAACGGTAAGAATAGAATTACATGAATTCAATACGTAGTATGATAACGATTGTTTCAGCAACTTGAGAATGCATGATAATTTCAAACAAACATTTTCGATCACCCTTTTGCTGCATCGGCTTTTAAGATAAAAAAATTTATTCTCACAAACAAGTACTGCAATATACAACCATTTCTCTATGAACAAATAAGATTTGGCGGCGGAATAAAAGCCATTGATAAAAAAAGCGACACCGGCAACTAATATAATACCAATCTTTGTTATACGAATCATTTGAAATTATAACGAGTTGATAATATTTTTTAAATAACCAATTTATTTTATCGCGCGCACGTCTAAGTAGTGCAAAAAAAGTCACCGAGTGTCTTCTCTTCAAATACGCAACGTATCTCGAAATTACCATACGCAATTTACACCGTTTCAAAATAAGCAAATCGTAATCAATGTTATAAAAAAATCCCAAACTTTTTTTTTTAATTAAACTAAACGTATTTATCGGCTGAATTGCAAAAGAGTCATCCATCTATAATGATGTGTTCCGCTTCTTTTTCGCAATACTGTAGTTTTTTTACACTTTTTTTATTGAAGTTTTCATGTTTCCTCGAACGACCTTGACTTTCGGATAGGGATCACGATCATTTGTTTTTAGTTGCTGTACATATACTGCAAATAAACGGTATTGAACAATCGATCTGTTTGTTTTATTTGTTTATATTAAAAATTTGCCTTTGGGTTTCATATATTATTATTATTATTTACAAAATTTTATTTCGTCCTTTCATCAATGAGTTTTCGAAAAATTATTAACAACATTATTAAAAGTTTTTTTTCTCTTGGATTTTTATTTCTCATACTGTCACCTTTTAATGCCAATAAATCTGTGACCATGTAATAAATATAAAGGGTAGACGAAAATATTTGTTGGTAATTCAATCTAAATAGAATTTTTTTACTATATATCGCGTATAACGATATATAAAAATTTTATAACGTTGTTCATAAAAAAATCATCACAAACCAAAAGTCATAAAAATTAGTAATAATTTTTATTTTTACTTTGGATATTTTCTCTAGAAATATCAATTTTGAAATTTGGTAAATTCATGGCAACTATTCTTATATAAAAATTTTAATCAAAAATATAATTTTTAATTAAAATTATTTATTTATTTTTATTTTTATTTTTTTTTTTAAACCATAATAAATAATAATTAAAAGAATTATATGATTATTATTTTTTTATTGATTGTTTAATAAGTAATAAACGAATTTAAATAAAATTTTTACTATATTTAAATAGTTAAATTAAAAAAAAACTCTTCATCAATCCTCTTATAGCACAAAAAAAATATTCACAGGTTTTATGCTTCTATGCTAATAAAATTTTATTTCTTTTCTTAAAACATCTTGAAGAGTAACTTTAAGAGTTACTCCTATTTCTTATCTTTTTTCTTATATAAAAACTTGATTTTTGATAATCAAAAAAAATTAAAAAATATTTTTTTTACAAAAAAAAAAAAAATTTTAAAAGAAAAACACGAATAGTTAGTATTGAAAACCTCTTTTTTGAAGCAAATATGTATATAAAAATTTACATAATAAAAAATAGATAAACAAAAATCTAACCCTTGAAAAATTTTTTATTTACTATTATTATTTTTTTATAATACTTATTTTTTTTTGATTTTGTTAAAAAATCTTATCTATCTCAATTTATTATTGAATTTTAAAGTAATACAAATCCATATAAATTTTATTAAAAATAATTAATTAATATATAAAATATATTAATAATAAAATTCAAATAAGGTTTTATTGATTATAACATATATTTTAATAATAGTATTAATAAAAAATAAATAAACAAATTTCTAATTTTTATTTTAATTTTTTAACTAAGTTAATTTATATCTCAAGTTTATAAGATCAATAAAATCTAAGCAATAAGTTTTTGTTTAATAAAAAGGATATTATTTATTTAAGTAGAAATATTTATATTTTATTAAAATAAAACTTTAAAGAAATTAAAAAATATTATTTATTTATTATTATTATTATTTTAATCTACAATTATATTACTATAACATATCTTTATTGAGATATTGAAATATAAAAATTGTTTTCAAACTATTTAT